TAGGGAAAGCTACTTCTGTTGCAGAGCAGGTGCAATGTAAGAAGTTGAAAGACCTCGTTGGAGGTTGTGCTGGAAATGTGAGGTGTTTCCTGAAACTTGTCACCTGGATAGTGAGGGTGCAGTAATCAAAAGGAGAATTTTGCTTTGTCTGTGGAAGTTACGTGCATTGGAAATGGATGGTTGGTGACCAGCTCCAGAGCACCACGTGACAAGAACGGTGTTCACTTTGGTATGTCCAAGATCTGTTTTTAGCAAACCATGCCTGTGAACTTCTTGGTCAATACTTGACAGGCTCACCAAACATGTCTGTTGGAGTCTCACAGTCTTAGTGTTGGAAAATTGGCTTTTAAGTCTCTTAATGTTTCTCTTTTGAAGTCTAGCTTTTAAATAACTGTCCTGTAAAGTAATGGATTATTAAACTTGTTTATCAAAGCTAATGTTTAAATATTTTTCCTTAATGTTTTGTGGGTTTGTTCTCCTTGAGGTTTTGGAATCACTTTTATTTTGTTTTCCTCTCTATTGTTGTGTAACAGTAGCAGGCAGTAACTGTTCTTTTGGTGGATGCAACTTGAGCATAGCTCATAGCCATGGTAATGTGCTTGCTGAGGGGCTGCCAGAGTGAAAAGGAAATTTCCTCATCGTTTACATTTGTCTTTCTCTGTGATACATTCACATCTGAAGGGTGACTGGATTTGGGGCAGGGGGTGATTTAAAGGTTGTACTCACCTGTGGTGGAACTGGCAGCATCTGATGGAAGATTGGAACAGCATCTGATGAAGTTACCTGCCACAGTAAGGTAATCTTTTCCTTATTTTGAATCATGTTCTTTCTTAATCAGAAAGTAAATAGGGGAGACTCTTTACCGTAGGAAGGTTACTTCTGTGCCAGTGACAAATAGTTTTCTTTTTTTCTCAAATAGCAGAAAATGTTAAGTCCCATTTTTCCTTTTAAATTTTATATCCATAGCTGATAGTTCAGTGGATGGGCTATTCTGGACATAACAGAAGACCCAAAAGTAACTGTTTGAGAGGTGCACAAGGTCTTGTGAATATAAAGTCTACCAAATAAATCCTTTTTTTTTTCCTCTCATAGGTGAAAAGCACCATCCCTGAAGGTATTTTGAGTCATATAGACATAGTACCTAGGGATATGACTTAGTTAAGGACTTGTGCTAGGTAAACTGCTGGACTTGATGATCTTGAAGGTCTTTTCCAACCAGAAAGATGCTGTGATTCTGTGAAATAGCTGAAGTAGCATAAGGAAAAGAGAACACTCCTCAAGAGTGTTAGATTAGATCTATCTGTATGGATCAACTTCACCAGCGAAGTGTCATTTACATATTACTAAGCAAGTGACCATTCATCCTTTTTTAATTGAGGCTGAATGACGAGGAAAAGGGAACATTATACATGGCCTCTATGAAGAAAGGTCCCTGCAGGCCACCAGCTGAAGGGGTTGTTTCAGCAAGGATGGAGCTGTACAGGTAAGGCCTCAGCAGAGGGTGTGTGTGCCCTACGGCCTCATGTCACACTGGTGGTTGTGGAGATGACACTTAGAACATACTGTACTGAGGCACTAATCCTCAGCCTCCCTGATTACAAAGTAAAAACATCTGGTCAGTTTTTAATCACTTGATTTGGACCATACCTCAATTTTGCTCTGACAATGGAAGTTAAATGGCATTAAGTCCATGGATTAATTTTAGAATACTCAGCTGTTTTAGAATCCTTGGCAGGGGAGAGGAATATCCAGAATGCACTCTGGAAAAGAGTAAATAAGCACTTCAAGCTTATTACATTGAAAACAGCTTTATGTTTTGTTTCTTGAGCATGGCTTTTTAAGGATACATTGAGTAACTGAAAGTGATAGATAATGAGTCCTGCTGTTTCTATACATAGTAGAAAAATGATTTCTCCTCCAAAAGTGGTAAAGTTGGTGGCAGCTTTACCATCGTACTAGAATCAACCAGCGTAATGATATGATGGTCAATTCAGTAAGATGGAGGAAAGCTTACTAATCCATTTCATTATAGGGTCCTTCTCATGGGTAAAAAAGCATGCAGTAGGTAAGTTCTGAGGTAAAACAAAGTAATTGTGAGGACAATGATTGCAGCAGTTAAAAAAGGAAAAAAAGGCCTAAGTATGTTGAATATTAGCCCTGCTGTTCACGATGGAGACAAGAACTGCACTTACGTCTGTGTGGTAACTTTCATGATTGCTGTGAGGGCTGGTGTATCTGTGTGTCCGTATCTCAGTGCTAGGTTTAGCTATTTCTGATGCCCTAATGTAGGTAAAATTAACTGTATGTGAGCGGCTGGCGCGCCAATGAATTAGCTATGAGAGTACGAATAGCTGTGTCTTGCTACAGCTGTGTTCTGAATAGCACCTCCTGGCTCACTCTAGGCTTGGCCAGTGCACAGGTAAGTGGCACTTTGCTCCAGAATTCCAGGTGTAAACCAGGGTGGACAGAACAGACCAAGTAGAGAATGCACCTCTGTAGTAACCTGGGGTACTTGTTTAGGTGCTATGGTTTGCAAGGTGTGGGACAGCTCTGGCAGACACTGATAGCATAAAAAACTTTGACAACTTAGTATATGAAAGAAGAAACAAACACACGTTATGATTACATTTAATAATTGCTTATTTCTTTACACATAGAGTTGCTGGTGTCATTTTACAAAGTAAACTGATTCGGAATGGCAACATTCTTTTTACAGGGTAAGATCTTCAGGTAAAAAGTGCTTGTGGCAGCTGAATTGAGTCCGAGGACCTTTTTGAAATAGAGCCACTTATTTAGCCACTTTATTTTAAGAGCTCTCAGTCAATGCACAAGGATAGAACTGTTTTGATATGCTGTGAAACAAAAAAATACGCATCTGGATTGCTTATCTTGGTTATTAAAATTTAATTAAATTTAATTAAAAACACTAAGTAGCGATACTAACATGTTTAAAGGCACTTTTTTTTTTAATGAGGCCTATTTACTTTTGAGGGTTTTTGGTCTCTTTGAAACACTGATTTCTGAAACACTAACTTTTCAGGCTTGGGAAAGTTCAAACGTGCAGAGGCATTGTTCCTACAAATACCGACTGATGTAATCTGAGGTAAACAGCTCTTCAAAGACTCTGGCTTTCTAAATTCTAATTAAACATTCATATTTATTAGCAGAGGCTTATTTTTTCAAAGCAGTGACTGTTGAATAAATCAGCCATGTGAGAGGAGTCACTGTCACATTTTATAGCACTACAAGTAACCTTTGGTTGGTATGTCAGCTGGCACACAGCTCACCTGCCACTGAAATTTTTGGGGGTAGATGTTTTATCCAAGTTGTATTGAGAATATTCCAGTTAGCAAATGTACTAAGTAAGACTTAATGTTAAATTCTGAAAATGTAATTAAATTATAAGCTAAATTAATTGCTGCCTTTAAGACTACTGTACCATAATCGCATGGCATTATCAGCCAAACTTAGCAAAATGATTGGTTTATTACTCTCTCTTCCTGTGGTCCATTCTTCTTGAACTTCTAATCAAGTCCAGTTATAAAAATGAGGCATTTGTATTTCCTGGATAAGCCTGGATGTGGAAGGTTACCCAGAGCTCTGTTTCTGTAGAGAGTAATGCTTGTCACTTCCAGGAAAGAGGGTATTATTTTTTAGAGATTAGCTTTATGTCAAGGACTTGGAAATATTAAAATTGAACTACATGATTTCTGCATTACTGATTCAGTTGGATGCCCTCACTTAGAAAAAGCAATGGTCTGAATTTATTTCCTCTTCTGTATAGCATCTATTCTGTACAGCTTGTGAGTAGCAAAAGGAATAATTAGTTTTCCAAATTATTTTTAATAAATGCTTACCATATGCTTTAAGCATTGACAGTTTGGAATGTGGCAGTTCATAGAATGTGGCAGTTCAACTTAAGAGAAAGGGTCAACACTCTCCCAGAAGATTTAATACCTGAATGCAGAACATCCTCTTCTAAAGCTTTGTAAGTAAATTAAATACTGTGAGAGAGGCTGTGAGAAACGAAACTGTACAAGAAGAGCACATAAGAGGTTCACTAAAGCACAGCAGAATTCCCAGCCACGGTGGAGCTGTGGGCCAGCCTTCAGGCACAATGACCATCCCTCTTGCAAAATCAAAACAATAGACAAATTACACTTGCATTTCCTTAACTGAGCAGCTGGCAGATCTCTTTG